GGATGTCTGGTGCATCCGGGTCTCCCTCAGGGGCAATCAGCATGGACACGAGATGAGGTCAAGCACTCAAACTCCTCCTGTCTGTCCTCAAGGACGTCCGTGCCAAGAGCACACTCACCCCCGACGGACGGAGGACAGATAGACTCAGACTCAGTTACAAGGCTAGCGGCGTAGTCTAGACGACAGGCGGCAGCAAAGTCAACTAACTCAGCGACTAGAGCAGACGCAGCAGAGGACTCAAAGGTAGGGTCAGTGACAGCAGTGGCGAGGAGACGCGTGATAGTAGGACTGGCATCCCGAAGGGAGTCAGACTCCAGGTCAGGACCGTCAGGAAGAGAGGACCCAGGAGGAGACGGCAGAGGGATACGCTGTGGAGCAGTGGAAGGACGCAAAGTCATGTAGTGAGGGCCAGGGACAGGAGGAGGACGCTCGCGCGGAACACGACGACCAGCACGGACAGACGACGCTGAACGAGACTTAGGCGACGCAGGACGAGACTCAAGCTCACGACGCTCCGTAAGACCTCTAGTTGGCCCAGCATAAGGAGGACCAGGCAGCGGAGAGGCAGGCTGTAACTGTGACTGTGACTGGACAGGCGGTGGACTCAGTAGGGGAGGAGTAGGACCAGGAGAGTGCGGGAGGCCAAGAACCTACTGAAGGAGCGGAACATAGTACGGCCGCGGCTGTGTAGCACCCCCGGAACCAGCAGGGACAGCTCCAGCACCCTCAGCTCCAGGGTCTCCAGCTACAACTCTTGCAGCACCACCAGGAGCACCAGCAGCTCCAGTACCTCCAGCTCCTACTCCCGCAGCAGCTCCAGTCCCAGCACAGTACGAGCACCTCCAGGACCAGCGACTCCAGCAGCTCCAGCACCAGCAGTACCTCCAGCAGCTCCAGCACCAGCAGCACCTCCAGCAGCACCTGCATTAGAAGCACCTCCAGCAGCTCCAGCACTAGCAGTACCTCCAGTAGCACCTGCACCAACAGCACCTCCAGCACCAGCAGCGCCCCTAGCAGCTCCAGCACCAGCAGCACCTCCAGCAGCACCACCAGCAGCACCAGCACCAGCCTCAGGGTCCGCGGCACCAACAGCAGCTCCAGCTCCAGGGTCCAAAGCACCAGTAGTACCACTCCGGAAACTGCAGCGCCAAGCGTACCACTCTCGGAGCCACTGGGGAGAGGGCAGCTCCCGCCTAGGCGGGGAACCACGAGCACCAGCTCCAGCAGTACCCCTAGCCCTAGAAGTGCCTCTCTTGAGGCTGCAGTACCGCGAATACCACTCTCGCAGCTGCTGTGAAGAGGGAGCACCTCCAGGCGCAGCATGGTCAGTCGCAGCACCCCCAGGCTCAGCACCCCCAGACTCAGCACCCTCAGGCTCAGCACCCCCAGACTCAGCATCCGCAGGCTCAGCACCCCCAGACTCAGCACCTTCAGGCTCAGCACCCCCAGATTCAGCACCCGCAGGCTCAGCACCCCCAGGCTCCGTACGCTCAGGCTCAGCACCCCCAGGCTCCTCACGCTCAGGCTCAGCACCCCTAGCAGGACGAGAGTCGACCGCTACCTCGACAGGCTCAACCGGGTCTACCTGGGACACACCGGAGGGAGCGGCAACCTACTGCTAGGCGTGCTCGGGCGGTGGTATCGGCTGTAGTTGACCCGCCTTCCGTTTCCTCGAGCTCTTCATCACCTGACACGTGGGGCACGAGCCCACGTGCTGCTGCACGTCGGTCAACAGCTCCGGCCAATAGTAATACCGCTGCAGTTGCTGTCGCGTTTTTTCTACCCCAAAATGTCCCGAGGTAATTCCGTCGTGTGCCTCCTTCAGTAACAGCTCCCTCAGTTGTGGGTACGCGGGTACCCAGATGTGGTTGATGCCTGCTTTTACGTAATAAACTTCTTTAGCTTCTGCCAGTTGCTGTGAATTTCCGGTCGTGAAAAATGGGTCAGTGCGATCTCCGTGGGTGAATAGGCCTGTTAATAGCGGGTTGGTTTGGGCGAGATGGATGGCATGGAGTTGGGCGGTAGGGCGGGTGAGTTCGTCAGCGATGTTGGATGCGCCTTTCTTGTACGTAAGCGTGTAGTGGAAGTTGGACTCGAGGTAGTCCAACCAGCGAATCTGTCGCGGATTGAGATTTGGTTGGGCACGCAGGTACTGTCCGTAATGTCACGTCGGCGCCAGTCTGTTAACACCGCCAAACCTTGAACGCGTGCACGATCGCCAACATTTCGCGGTCGTGTATCGGGTAGTTGCGTTCGGGCGGGTACAGCTTGCGGGACTCGTACGCGATTGGCTGGAGGCCGTTCCCGAAATCCTACAACAGTACTGCTCCCATAGCGATGTCACTTGCGTCGGTGACGAGCTCGAACGGACTGTGTGGATCTGCGATGTGAAGCACGAGCAGTGAGCACAAAATGTTTTTGAGGGCCGAGAAGGCAGCTTGCTCTTTCTCCCCCCACGTGTACTCAACCCCCTTCCTCAGCAGGTCGGTCAGCGGGGCAGTCAGCTTCGCCATGTCGGGGACGAACCGGCGCACGTAGTTGACGAACCCCATAAAACTCTGCAACTCGGTCAAGTTGGTCGGCGCGTGCCATGCTTGAATCGTCGCAATTTGTTTTGGGTCTATTTCCACTCCTGCAGCTGAAATAATGTGTCCCAAAAACTCCAGCCGGTCCTGTAAAAACTCACACTTCAACGCTCTTGTGAGTAGGCGGTTCTCAATCAGTATCTTAAAAACTACTTCGATGTCCTGTAAGTGCTGTGCTCTGTCAGGGCTTTAAATCAGTATGTCGTCCAGGTATATGTGAAAGAAATGAGGAATGAATGAGCTAGCACAAGGTTGGGTACAAGTAGGAAACCCTAGGAAACTGTACCCCATAGTGTCTACCCCACTATAGCCTAGACAAGCTATATGATATGAGTTTGACACACCCCCATAGGCAAAGTGGGGGAGAACAAGAGGTCACAAGACCAGTCAAGCAAAGCAAAACAAGCTCAGGGTGGATCACAACGTCACCACCCATTCCGAGCACAAGAGCAAAGCCACAAGGCCAGTTCACATGCAAGATCATATATAAAGGTAAACAAGCAAGTGCAGGTATAGAAAGATCACAGTACAAGCAAGGTCAAGAAGTGAGCAAGTGAGGCCAAGAAGGCACAAGACCTAGCATCGTACAGAAATGCTAATGATCACCAGGCGGAAGCGCCTGTGTAAAGATATCAGCAGTGTTGGCCTGAGAAGCCACGTAAGCAAGGCGCAGCTGACCACGCTGCTGCAGCTCACGTGCAAGGAAGTAGCGGAGAGCAATGTGCTTCGTTTTTGCTCCAGTCTGTGCTCCCGACACAAGGCTAGAATGGCCTTGTTGTCTACGTACAGAACTGGAGGAGAACGAGGCGGCTCTCCTAGGTCAGTCGGCAGGTAGGTGAGCCAGCGTAGCTCGTGTGCAGCCATGGCCCCGGCGTAGATCTCAGCCTCACAGCTGGAGCCAAGAACAGAAGACGAGCGGGTAGACCGCCACGAAACAGAGCCGGAACCAAGGCTGAAGGTGTAACCCTGTGACGACCGCTGCGTAGCCTGGTCGTCAGCCCAAGAAGCATCTGCGTGACCTGTGAGGACCACTCGACGTCGCCCTCCAAGCACTAGCCCCATGCCCGACGTACTGCACAAGTAGCGCAACACCCTCTTCGCTGCAGCCATGTGCTCTGGTCGGTGTCTCCCAGGAGCAACATAGCGTGCCAAGATGCTAAGAGGGCTGCGAGGGGCCGCGAAAGGGGCGGCGACGGGGCCGCGAAGGGGCCGCGAGGGGCCTGGAAGGGCGGCAACGGGGCCGCGAAGGGGCTGCGAGGGGCTAGGAAGGGCGGCAACGGGGCCGCTAAGAGAAGCGCGAGGGGCACGCCACGGGGCGTGCCGACTCTCACATACCTTTCCCAGCCCAACCCTTCCCCCACATTGCCCGCTCTTACCCTAGTCCAGCCCCACTCCCCTCTCGAGCCCCATGCCTCACAGTCCTGTCCACTAACGTGCAGTCTAATGCACCGCTGCTGCATCATCAAGATGCAAGTTGCAACATCAAACGCGGAAAAAAAAATCGTCTGAGATTTCAGACATGCAATGGAATTTCATCTGAAAAGACAGACACGCGAAAATTTCCCGTCCGAACATCAGACGAAACAGATTTTTGGGTTTAGGTTTTTCAGACAGGCCAAAATCCTAGCGAGAGCCCTGGTGCGGAGATGCGCGGTCCGAAAAAAAAGAGGCTCTAAATACCAAGTGTTAAGGGTGCAATGGATCGAGGTAGCGAGGATTGCACTCAGGTGTCAAACGAGTACAAAATGTGAGCGAAGGCATGAGCGAACATTTATACGCGAAATATGCAAACCGTAACGCGGTGCGTGCGAGCTAGTTAGTGCTATGTTGGCAGCGAGGCTCGGGCTAGTCCCGAAGCATAGGCCGACACGGCCGGTCCAGCAGTGCGAGGTTTGGCAAAATAGTACGCGCGAAGTTGGCAAAGCCCCGTTAGCAGTAACGGGCGAACAACGGCTGTTGCTGTACGCGATGGAGTCGGACTCGGTAAGGAATGCCGAGAAAATTCCTTACAGGGGAGAAGTGTGTTGAGAGAAGGTCATCGTTGTTTTTGCCAGGTCAAATGTGATTAGCACCAGTGTAACTTGCTGAATGACAATGTTTCCCATGCCACTGGTGATTCTCCACATTATCATACAAAAACCAAAATCACACTATACATAACTGGAACAATCCACCATTCAAATCACTCACCAGCACCACACACATTCCTCACTTATTTCAGACTCTCATTATCTTTGCACAAATATAATCGAAGGGATGACTCACGGAATCTGCTCAAAGCCACAGGGGGGCAACACGAGGATCCGCTAGCTGCTGAAACTAAATCAGGGCCCTTCACCAATCCTTAGGACATCTCCATAGAGGGCCTTTTGAGACACTTGAATTCTGAAGAGTAGTGGTACCTTTGGAACTTAATTAAGAGCTGAGGCTCCTGGACTGCTCTGCCAGCAGCAGGTCGGTGTCAAGGTCATCCGCAATGACTATGGACGGTGCCTTCTTAAATATCTGCAGAGCGTGGGTAGCAGGAGGGAGAACGGGGGGAACTTTTGAGCCGACTGGAAAGGCTCCTCTCTTAGCGGGCTCTGCGAGGAGCGGGTCCGCGTCAAGGTCATCCGCAATGGCAATGGACTGCGCCTTCTTCAATATCTGCACACTGCGGGATCCAGGGGGGGGAATGAGGGACTTCTGGACTGCTCTGCCAGCAACAGGTCAGCATCATGGTCATCCGCGCCTTCTTGAATCTTTGCACAGTGCACTGGGGGAGCAGGGAGAAATGAAGGGAGGCTTCTGAGGCGGCTCAATAGCAGGTCGGTGTCGCAATGGCAATGGACGGCGACTTCTTCAATATCTGCAAATGTGGGGTGCAGGGGGGAGGAACGCGGGGGGGGGGGGGGGGGGGGGGGGGGGGGGGGGGGCTTTTGTGTCGACCCAAAGGCTCCTGGCTGGCTCTCTAGGAATGCATTGGCTCTCTCTAGGCTCTCTGGTCTATAGGTCATCCGTAATGCCAATGGGCAGGGCCATCTGAAATATCTGCACACCGCGGTGTTCAGGGGGGAAGAACGGGGGGAGGGGGGAGAGTGGGGGAGAGGGGGGGGGGGAGAGTGAGGGGAGAGTGGGGAAAGAGTGGGGGGAGAGTGGGGCGAGAGTGGGGGGAAAGTGGGGGGAGGGGGGGGGGAAGAGAAAGAAGGCGCATATGGGTTGGGAGGTTAACAGAAGAGGCAAACATGGTGCATAAGGGCAGGAGGTTAGCAGAAGAGAAACATGGTGCATAAGGGCTGGTGGTTGAAGAAATGAGAAATCACAGTGCACATGAGACGCGCGGCATTGTGGGGGGAAATTGGGTGAGGGTGGTGAGAGAAGAAGCGACAACAAGCAAGGGGGGGACAAACCTGGATCCAACATTTCGAGGGCATCGAATTGATGAGAGCAATGAACATGACCTCTGAACCCGGGGTGAATTCAAGAACTAGGGTCGGAGCGCTAGGGTCGGAGCGCTAGGATCGGAGCGCTAGGATTGGAGTGCTAGGGTCGGAGCGCTAGGATCGGAGTGCTAGGGTCGGAGCGCTAGGATCGGAGCGCTAGGGTCGGAGCGCGCGTTGGAGGTACCTTGTGGAAGTACTCAAGCTCGCCCCGTGCCGCCCACCCACTTCTCCCGAGACACGTCCTGCACCACCCCTGTAATCCTAAATCCTAATCCCAAACCCCAAGCACAAGGCCCCAGGGTGGAGGTACCTTGTGGAAGTACTCAAGCTCGCCCCGTGCCGCCCACATCTCCAGAGACACGTCCTGTGCCGCCCCTGTGAGGGGATCCACTGCCGGGGTCACCGCCTGAAGGTGTTGGGAGGGGTGGAGGGCGGTGGGAAGGAATAGCGGGGGAGAGGTGAGTGTGGAGAGCGGTGGTGTGGTGTGCAGCCCAATCCACATCTCCAGAGACACGTCCTGCGCCGCCCCTGTGAGGGGATCCACTGCTGGGGTCACCGCCTGGAGGTGATGAGAAGGGGCGGTGGGGAGGGGTGACAGGGGAAAAGAGGGGATGTAGAGGGGTGACACAGGATTTTCAGGGGAAAAGAGGGGATGCAGAGGGGTGACAAAGGGCCACGGCAACGCGCATGATGCAGAGCGGAATACTCGCTATGAACACACCTGTTACAAGTGCAAATGCACACACACTCACCAGCACATATGAGTCGTCGTCCTGCAGCACGAGCACGCTCGCAGCAGCACCCGTGTAGCAGCGATCGAGCGCCACGGGCGATGCGCACGATGCACATTATTGTACGCATTGTGAGCAAACTCGCCTCTCGTTATAAGCGTATACTCACCAGCACGCATGAGTCGTCGTCCTGCAGCACGAGCACGCTCGCAGCAGCGCCCGTGTAGCATCGATCGAGCGCCACAGCGATGCGCATGATGGCACAGAGCCACATGTACTCGCTATATATAAGCCCACCCGTCACAGAACACACTCACCAGCACACAAGAGTCGTCGTCCTGCAGCACGAGCACGCTGGCAGCAGCGCCCGTGTAGCAGCGATCAAGGGCTACAGCGATGCGCATGATGGCGCAGAGGGCTCGGATCTTCTGCTGCACCACGGGGGGCAGCTTGGCAAAGTCCTCGTCCTTGGTGGAGGGTGGGCGCTTGCGGTGGTGGCGTACTAGCAGGGCAATCATCTGATGGGGTGGGGAGTGAGGGGGGTGAGTGAGGGACCAGGGCAATGGGAGGCAGGTTGATAATCAGGGGGCAGCTTGGCCAAGTCCTCATCCTTGGTGGATGGCGGGCGCTTGCAGTGGTGGCGCATGAGAAGGGTGACCATCTGGTGAGGAAAAGGGGGGCAGGTTGGAAGCGGAAAGGGGGACCATTGGAAGGTGGGGAGGAGGGAAGGGAGGAAGGGATCATTCTGAGACTTCCCAAGACTTGCTTGTGTGGCAGAACAGGGGGGAAGAGAGACGGGGAGCCGTTGCATAAGCATGCGAAAGACACAACATGCGCCCCATGCCCCATGCCCCATGTTCCATGCCCCCAATGCCCAGTGCCCCGTGTCCCGCCATTCATGTGCGTTCCGCTCACCTCGACTTCCATGGGTGAGTACCCCAGCAGCTGCTCTGAATGCTGCGTGCCCCACTGCCACACCCCGCCACCCACGCCCCATGCTCCGCCCCCCTACCCCCCATGCTCCGCCCCCCTACCCCCCATGCTCCGCCCCCCTACCCCCCATGCTCCGCCCCCCTACCCCCCATGCTCCGCCCCCCTACCCCCCATGCTCCGCCCCCCTACCCCCCATGCTCCGCCCCCCTACCCCCCATGCTCCGCCCCCCTACCCCCCATGCTCCGCCCCCCTACCCCCCATGCTCCGCCCCCCTACCCCCCATGCTCCGCCCCCCCTACCCCCCATGCTCCGCCCCCCTACCCCCCATGCTCCGCCCCCCTACCCCCCATGCTCCGCCCCCCTACCCCCCCATGCTCCGCCCCCCTACCCCCCATGCCGCCCCCCTACCCCATGCTCCGCCCCCTACCCCCCATGCTAGTCATGTGTTTCCGCTCACCTCGACTTCCATGGGTGAGTACCCCAGCAGCTGCTCCGAATGCTGCACGACATGGGTTTCAGGGAGAGAATGAGCAGAGGGATGGAAGCGTAAGGGGAAAAAAAGGGGGGTGGGGGGGGAAGAAAAGGTGGGAGGGATTCATCGTTTGGAAACGGATGGGCGAGAAGCTGCTGCGCGAATGCTGCAAGAGATGACTTTTGAGTCGACTCAAAAGTCACCACGTTTGGAAGCTGATGGGCGAGAAGCTGCTGCGCGAATGCTGCAAGAGGTGACTTTTGAGTCGACTCAAAAGTCACCACGTTTGGAAGCTGATGGGCGTGAAGCTGCTACGAACGCTGCAAGACCTGGGGTTCTGCGGAACGGTGAAGGGCGGAGGGGCGGAAGGGGAGGAGGGGTTGTGCGGGTCGGACGGGCGGCGAGCAGAGGAAGGGTGGGGGTCAGAAGGGCGGCGAGCAGAGGAAGGGTGGGGAAGAGCTTGGGAAAAGATGGAAGAGTTTGGGGTTCAAATAGAGAAAAGGTTGAGGGATGAAGGAGAGGAAAAGGGGGGAAGTGGGGAGGCAAGGCATGGCGACATGGCGGCATGGTGGCATGTCGGCAGGCAACCAGTTTGTGCTTGAGTAACCAGGGCAACCAGTTTGTGCTTGAGTAACCAGGGCAACCAGTTTGTGCTTGAGTAACCAGGTCAACCTTTTTACCGTACCTTAATCAAGTAGTACGAGTGCTTGTGGTAGCCCTTGTGGGAGATGAACATGCCCACATAGTGCAGCACTGTGGCCGCCTCCAGCACCTCGAAATCGTTGCCGTCCAAAAGAGCCATCATCGGCGACACGCAATCTGAGCCGCCCATCTTGCACGTCTGCATACCTGCCAGGATTTGCTGCGGAGAGGAAGCAAAAGAAACGGGGAGAGGCGGGGGGGAAGGGGCATGTGAGGAGGAGAGTGATTGGAGATAGGACAAAAGATGCAATCTGAGCCGCCCATCTTGCACGTCTGCATGCTCACCAGGATTTGCTGCAGAGAGGAAGAATTACCAAGTGGGGAGAGACGGGGAGGGGGAGACGGGAAGGGGAGACGGGGAGGGGGGGACCGGGGGGGGGGGGAAGAGTCAGTGAAGGTGAGAGGGGGAGACGGCGAGACAGAGACATAACGTCCACAATCACGCCCTCCCTCAGCGCTGATTTATGCGCCTCAAAGAGGCGCGTACACAGACACCCCCTCACTCACCCCACACCCGCATCTTCTCAATCCCCATCGCTCTCTCTCCCTCACTCACCCACACCCCATCGCTCTCTCCCTCTCTCACTTACCCCACTCTCTCCATCCCTCTCCACATTGATCCCTCTCACCCGCGCCAGGCGAGCACAGTGCAAAGCTGACTCTTTCCTAAACCCGGTGTTGAACTTCCCGGCCATCTTCAGCACAGCACAACGCTCCTTCTCAGGTCCCCTCAGAGAGGCACTGCACGGCCCCTGACAGCTGCTTACATGAACTTTCACACGTGGCTAATTCGAGTTAAGGGGTTTCTTGTACTACTTCGATTTCTGAAAAGTTTTTTACAATTTCGTTCCTTACAGTTGCTTAAGCGTTTTCTTCAGGATTTGCAGCTATTCCGATATGAGTTTGGACAGCTGCTTGCATGAACTTTCGCACGTGGCTCACCTGGGCCAGGCGCGCGCAGTGCTTAGCCGACTCCTTTCGCAGCCCAGTATTAAACTTCCCGGCCATCTTCAGCACCGAGCTCCTCCGCAAGTCAGGAGTGATGCTGAAGTCCGTGAAGGTGCGAGACAGAGTGTCCACAATCACGCCCTCCCTCAGAGCATACGGAGACACGCGCATCTTTTCAATCCCCATGGCCAAAAAGATCTCCTCCAGGAGAATCGCGCCGCCCAGGATCACGTCCGCGCGCTTCTCGGGCAGCCCGGGCAGCTTCGCGCGCGCGTCCGGGGTTTTTGCCTTGCAGATCTTCTTAACCACGGCGGAGAGCTCTTCCAGGGTGAATTCACGGTCCTTCAGGTCGGCCAGGCGCCGCAGAACAGCCTGTGGTGGGGTTGTAGGCAGAGAGGGGATGCACAATTGGGTTGCAGATCTTCTTAACCACGGCGGAGAGCTCTTCCAGGGCGAATTCTCGGTCCTTCAGGTCGGCCAGGCGGCGCAGAACAGCCTGTGGTGGGGGTGGGGGTGGGGGTGGCAAGAAAGGGAAGCAAAGAAGTGGGTTTTGAGGGGATGGCAGAGAGGTCATCGAGGGTGAACTCACGGTCCTTCAGGTCTGCTAGGCGGCGCAGAACAGCCTGTGGTGGGGGTGGTGGTGGCAAGAAAAGGAAGAATCCAAGTGGGTTCTGAATTGTTTTTGGCCTTGCAGGTCTTCTTGACCACGGCAAAGAGCCTTTCGAGGGTGAACTCCCGGTCCTTGAAGTCTGCTAGGCGCTGCAGGACAGCCTGCGAGGGGGGGTGTAATTAGGTAGGTAGGGTAGGCAAAGAGGGGATGGACAATTGGGTTGCAGATTTTCTTGACCACAGCGGAGAGCTCTTCCAGGGTGAACTCACGGCCTTTTTTGTCTGATAGGCGCCGCAGAACAGCCTGTCACAGGTTGTACTGTAGGTAGCAGTGGGAAGGCAGAGAGGGAATGAACAAGTTGGTTGTGAGGCGTTTTGGCCATGCAGGTCTTCCTGACCACAGCGGAGAGCTCTTCCAGGGTGAATTCCCGGTCTTTGTTGTCTGCTAGGCGCTGCAGAACTCTTCAATTCTCACCTCTTGATTCTGCATGACTCCACTGAGTCCCCCTCCTCCCCCTCCTCCTTTCCCACCGCCACCGCTGCTCCTCCCGCTCTGCGCCCGGCTGCTACCAAGGAGCCATTGCTCCCGCTCCCACTGCTGCTGCTGCCGCTGCTGGTGCTGGCAGTGGCGATGGTTGCAGCGCTGCCCGTGCTAATGGTACCGCTGGCCCGCGATTGGTGGATCATCTGCTCGATTGTTTCAATGGTGCCCGAACTACCTATTGACAGTTCTATTTCGTTCTCGGCCCTGCAGAAATAACAAACAAACAAACAATCAAGCGTTGAAGATGCCCTTTGATTAGCCGCAAGCACTGTTTCCTTCGAGCCTTGCAAGATAAGGGCAAAACAACAAAAACAGAGCAGGCGAAACAAGTAGCAGACAGAATAAATAGGTTGCGTCCACCTTGCGGCATACCCAAACCAGTCACCAGCACTCGCACTTTTCCTCTGGTTTGTGCACCACACTTCACCGCAAAGCATCTCTACTCACTCACTCCCACTCACCCTTTCACCACCTCCAGCACGCCCGAGTCGGCCAGCAGCACGCGCACGTATCGCCGCATCTCCAGAATCTGCTGACTCTTGGACAGCCCACCCGCTGGGGAAGAGGACAGGAGCGGGTGGACAGGGGACGAGGAGAGGAGCGGAAAGGCAAGGGACGAGAAGAGGAAGGGAGGAGGGAGCGTCAATGATGACAGGGATGAGGGGAGAGAGGGAGGAGGGAGTGGACGAAAGGAAGGGAGGGATATATCACAGACAAGCGCTCACTCTGACTAGGGACCAATTTTTTCTCCCCTTCACGGTGTCTTAATCTTGCCTAAGTGGGCAACTAGTGCTGTGTCAAGCATGTTCTTTGATGATTCGTTTTATTGTATTCTGAAAAAGGTTGCACGTGCTGTTTCAACACCATCCTCGTTACAAGCACACACACTCACATGCAAACTTCTCGGTGAGGCGAATGTGGCCCAGCTTGAGTGACGTGGCAAAGAGCGGCTTGCCCTCCCGACCAATCACAAATTCCGTTGACCCGCCTCCAATGTCGACCGTGAGCACCGTCTTGTGATACACTGGGAGGGCCTGGGGGGTGGGGGAAGGGGAGGGATGGGGAGGGAGGGGAGGGATGAGCGGGAGGGGGGTGAGAGTGAGTGCAGCTTCCGCCTCCAATGTCGACTGTGAGCACCGTCTTGTGATACACTGGGAGGGCCTGGGGGAGAGAGATGGTGAAAGGGGAGGAAAAGAGAATAAGAGAAGGTGAGCGAGTGAGTGTACGAGTTTATGACCCGCCTCCAATGCCCACAGTCAGCACTGTCATGTGGTTCCCTGGGAGGGCCTGGGGGGAACGAGGAGGGGAAGAAGAAAAACGGGAGCGCAAGGAATAGGGCCTTTTATTAAGGGGAGAGCGAATGCAACCTCCGCCTCCTATGTCCACCGTGATTTGAGACGTCTCAAAACACTTCTTCAATCACGCCTCCTATGTCCACCGTGAGCACCTTCTTGAGGTCACTGGGAGGACCTGGGAGAGAGAGAGAGAGAGTGGAATGGGGAAGTGAGAGAAATGGAGAGAAAGTGGGCGAGTGAGTGCAAGAGTGCATGAGCCGCCTCCTATGTCCACCGTCAGCACTGTCTTGATATACACTGGGAGGGCCTGGGGGGAACGAGGAGGGTGGGGAATGCAGAGGGAGGGGGAGGGTGAAGGGGAGTGGGCGGAGAACAGACCTGTTGAATACCAGAGTAGCTGAGGTAGGTCTTGTCTTGTTTGGCCAAATGGCACCTCCATGCAACCCCAGTGGTGCCCAGCAGCCAGGGGACGGGCGGGGAGGCAAGGGGGATAAGGGCGCAAGGGGGCCAGGGGGACAGGAGGCCAGAGTACGGACCTGGAGAATACCGAGGTAGATAAGGCAGGCTTCTTCCTGGCCGGATAGCACCTCCACGTCGATCCCGGTGGTGTCCAGCACGCGGCGCACGAACGACCGTCGGTTGCGCGCCTCGCGCACTGCTGACGTGGCAACGACGCGCATCGCCGCGCCACGCGTTTTCGCGATCTGCTTCAGCCGTCGCACGGCCGCCAGCGCGCGCTCCTCCGCCTCGGGGGTGATCACAGCGAACCCGGAACTGCCACGTGTCCAACGGGGAATGAATCAGGTGAGTCAGCAGCTCGACACAGTCAGCAGCAGTTGGAACGAGGAAACAAGGTAGGTAACTGTGATCTTCAAGAACGTGACATGTTTCGGAACTATAGATACTAGCCCAAAGAAAGGCGGGTTTGGAATTAAGGGATTTGAAACGACTGCCACGTGACAATCGCCTAAGAGATTGATTTACGTGTTCCATCTTCGTGGAGCCGTCACGCCTCGATTAACCTGACCCGGATATAAACATTCGCATACTGCCGTGTCACGCGTCCTTCATGTTTTAAACGATTCAATCCGTAAACACCGCGATGCTATCGGAACAGTGCAATACCTGCCGCATGCCGAGGCGCACGTCCTCCTTCTCCACGTCCTCGATCTCGAAGCGCCCCTTGTTGTCGGCTTTAACGACGACCATGTGGAACGAGTTGGTGCCCATGTCCACCGCCGCTAGCATCCGCTGCTCCTGCTCCGGCACTGAGAGGGGGTAAGGGCGCGCGCGCGGAGAGGGAAAAGGGTGCGCGCGCGGAGAGGGCAAAAGGTCGCGCGGGGAGGGGAAATGGCGCGCGGAGATGGGGAAGGACGCGCGTAGAGCGGGACGGGTGAGTTTGAGAATTTTCAAGCATGACTCCCAACATAACGACGACCATGTGGAACGAGTTGGTGCCCATGTCCACTGCCGCAAGCATCCGCTGCTCCTGCTCCAGCACTGCGCGGAAAGGGGAGATACGCGCGCGCGCGCGGAGAGGGAAAATGACGATCAGAGAGGGGGAAGGACGCGCGGAGAAGGGGACGGACGCACATGCTAAGGAGGCCAGGTGAATGACGACAACGACAGCGCACCTCGTCGAATTTTCGGGATTGCCGCGATGCCGTCCACCTCTTCCTCGTCGTCGCTCAGCTCGCCGCCACGCGCCGTCCGCAACAGCTGGCGGCTCATCATTGGTCCCACGTGTCCGCCGTCCTCCCCTTCCTCCACGTCCACCCCCACCGACACCGTCCCTTGCTGCGCCGACTCCGCAGATCCCGCCGCGGTTCCCGCCGCGGAGGATTGAACGGCGCGGCGCGCGCCGCCGGTGGCGGCGAACGCAGCGGCATTGGCGGAAGGAGCAGGCCAGCAGGGGAGGTTAGGTAAAGGCGCATCGAAATAAGACTTGCGGGTGACGGAGGGAGGGCTTGAGGAGTGAGGGGAAGTAGATGGTAAGGAGGAGAGAGAAGGGGGAGATGAGGAGGAGGACGAGGAAGCGGAGGAAGAGGAGGGAGAGGGTGAAGCAGATGCACGTGGCACGATTTTGACTGCTCGTCTGCTGGCGACAAGCGGCTGACTGCGGAAAGAAGCTCCGCCGCTGCCTAATTTACGGCGGCTCGAACGCAGCGAGCCATGCTCGGTTGATAGTAGGTGAAACGAGCCTTGCTCGATTGGGAGCGGGTGTACAGATTGAATGACAACCATTCCGGCGAATTGAAAGTCAGAATGCGCTGGGAGAATCGCCGGGAAACACCCGAGGGAGCTCGGCTGGAGCTGCAAAACACGCGGCTAGGAGCGGGATAGAAAATGAGTAATGCGCAGATAACGCTATGAACATTAGTGAAGGCTTTTTACGACTGAGGGCCGAGTGACAGGAGTGGAGTGCAGTGCATTGACGCTACTTGTGAAGCAATTAGGAACGGTGACGATGATGCTCCACAACGGTTATGGCCTTTTTCTGATCGTTGCACCCTTTGATTTTGCGGCTGCGGCTGGGCGGGTGACGGGTCCGAACCCGTCCCATCTCTCGCTCTGCTGCTCTTGGTGGTCCGCCCGTTGTGTGCTGCTGCTCCCCGCGCATCAAAATAGCCAATCCGACGGGGCCACGGAGGACCCCTCTTCATCCCTTGCACCCGCGAGTCGCGTGTTTCCGCCCGCTGCCACGGCAGGACACCTCAGCGCCAAGGCCTGATTGGCTCAACTTCACTGTTGCGATGAAGTATAGCTAGGCTTGGCACAGGTTTGACAAGCCTGGGTCAAGACGGGACCTCAAAGTCGTGTTCACAACCAATGTGTGGACTTTTCGAGGTACCACCCTCACGTAAAACGGTGCACAAAAGTAACAATTTCACGTACAAAAGCTTGCCACAAACCCCTCCCTGTGGTTAAGCAGAAACTGTCACATTAATAAACCAGCAAGGTGGCGTTGCCATTTTGCCAGTCATTACCCAACCTGGACGGTGTTCAGCACCTGGCATTCCAGCAGCATGTACTGATGCAATGGGACAGCAACCATTGATGGCACGTGCGACACAATGTCAATCTTGGATCCCTGACACGTAATCCTCGCCACGACCGAGGAGATCCACTTACGTAACAAGGCAAGAATATTCCCTTTCAGTACAGGATCTTTATCATCAGCCTCAATTGAGGTATCCACTGTGGCCAATCACGAACCTCGAACACTGATGAGAAACAGAAGTGTACACAATAATATTTATCAAAAATTGCCTCGTAGAATATATTCTTCATCAAAATTTTGTAGCTAAACCCTTTGAAAAAATAGCATAAATTCATCATTTTTCACGTATATATATTTATTACTAATCAATGTAAGCCTAGCTAATCTTCCCAACACATTCTTCTCCTAACAAAGATTATGATCTCGTGTAGTACTTGCAATAGAACGTTACAGGTTCAACCTCTCGCAAGCACCATACCGTCTTTCGCGACTGACACCCGACTCCTATCACCCAGTGCGCACTGAAACAGCCACCCAAGCCAACCCTAACAGCACTGTCGGCAGCCCCTCGGGCCTGTAATTACAGATTCCCCAGATTTCTCCGCCGTCCCTTATGACAAACCCCGACCCCACCCCCACCCACCCTCCCGTTGTGAACTTCACAACGTAGTCACCGCTTTCTCCGCTCGCACCCGAGAACGGCGTTGACACTCGCTTATGGCTGATCCTAAAGAGTCCTTCGACGCCGCCATGAGGTGCCAGGGCCGGCGCCTACTAAGAACAAAGCGGCTCCAGCCACCCCAAATCGCGTCAACCGCATCGAGTCCTCCACGCGGTATAAATGCCGTGCCACTTCAAACTCTCAGCATCCATCAATCGCACTCCGAGACTCATCTCTGCATAGCAGCTTTCCATCAGCGCTGCTTAGCTGCTCCCCATCTCGAACAGCTTTTGAGAATTCTCAGAAGCGGTTTTCAAATAGCTGCTTCCCGGCTCCAACAGCGGTATACAGAAATCCTTCCTCTCAGCCTCCAACTCCAGCACAGGCCATGGCTCGTTCGTTCCTCCCCTTCCTCCTCCTCGCCGCTCTCCTCGTCGCAATAACAGCATCGTCATCTGCCGAAGCAGCAGCAGCAGTGAGCATCGGGGGAAGCGCCAGCGCCGCGGCAAGCGCTGCGGTTCGCGCCGGCGCCGCTGCCAGCAGGCGTGCAGGCCGCGGGTTCGGATTAGGTCTGGGGGTCAGCGGATGCGTGTCGCTCGGAATTGGCATCGGCGGGGGTCGCGGCGGCAGCAACGGACGGCCTTGCAACGACAATCGGGGTGGCAGTAGCGGCGGAAGCAGCGGCGGTGGCTCTTCAGGCGGCTCTTCAGGTGGTTCTTCAGGCGGTTCTCCTGCATGTGACCATGGCAAGTGTGACGATAACGCGGGGTCGCTGGACTACTGGCGAATCCCTGAGCACAGCGAGTGTGCGAGCATGGCAGCAGCGGCGGGAGGCGTGGCAGTGCCTGTGGACGCAGATAAGGCGTGGTGCGTGGGGGGTGGCGACACGGAGATCTTATACGCGAGGGACTGCTGCGGTCTGTGCAATAGCACCAATGCGACTGCCTCTGGGGATCCGTTCAACTGCCGCTTCTGGGTGCACATCCCGTGAGTACCACATTCCGTTAGTAGCACATAACATTCCATTAGTGAAACATCTCATTAGTACACCCACGCGAGGTTCGTTGCTCATTTTCCGTTCCTGCCTTTTTGAGTTTTTTCTGAGTTCAAGTGCATCCACTTAAACACATTTCTCTCTTCTCTTTCACCTCCTTGAAATCTTACTTTTTTTCAGCCGTCCATCAACTCTTATGTTCCAACATTCGCAGCTCGCCTTTCTTCCCCCCTCTTCTCCATTCCTCCCTCACCACTCCCTTCCCCCTCAAACTGCACCCCTGTTGTGCTCTCCAGATCCAACGGCTCCTGTGTTCTGATCCCATCGATTGACGGTCTCCAGCCCGTCAAATCCAACCTAACCAGCGCAACCAGTGGGCCCAAGGTTCGCGTTGGCAAGCGGTGCCCATTCGGGGAGAACGACCCGCACTTCCTGGGCGCGCACGGCACGCGGTTCGACTTCAACGGGCTGCCCGAGAAGAACTTCTGCCTGTACACGGACCGCGCGGTGCACGTGAACATGGGCATGCGCGGGTACCTCGACTCGCGCTCCACGATTAACTCTCACGCCCTCGTCGTCAACGGCTCCGCTGTGCGCAACCTGGATCCGCCAGCTCGCCCTCATGTGGACCGACGACCGCAGCCGACAGCGACAACACCGTGTCCGCCAAGCCCGCCTCCCACTCGCTGGTGCTCACGGCGCGCGACAGCAAGGAGCAGCTCCGCGGCGAGTCTGGGTTCCTCGCTTCGGCGGGAGCTCGACGGCAACGCCTCTCCCCCGCCTTGCTCCTGGTGAGACGCGCAGCCTGGCCGGCGGGAAGGTGCTTGTGGAGTTTGTGGGAGAGGAGAAGACCGGGCCATACGACGTGGACCACTATTATCTGAGCATCAAGGGGCTCCTGGAGTTGGACCTGAAGCTGCGTCCCGCGCACCCTCTGTTGCAAACACCTGACGACGCCCAGGTGCACATCAACGTGATGTTTCAGGAGGCGGAATCCGAGCAGCAGCGTGCACGGCGTGATGGGGCAGACGTACCGTGGCGGCAGGGAGGCGCGCACAGTGGAGTTCTGCTCGGCTCGCTGCCCATGCTGACACCACCCCGTGTCCGCCGATGGCGCGGAGGGCAAGGGCTTCCTGGACGGGCAGGTGAAGGACTATGAGACCAGCGCCGTCACACCGCCACTGATTGCCGCTACTCTGCCTTCAACGGCCAGACGCTGCCCTTTTCTGCTTAAAATGTTGCAGGGGCGGTTTGCTTTTGTCAGGTTGAAGGACGGGGGGTTGGGGGGAGGGGGGGGGTGGAGGGGCTGTTGATCGGAAAGGGGACTATGAGACCAGCGCCGTCACTGCCACTGACTGCCGCTTCTCCGCCTTCAATGGTCAGGAGCTGCGCCTTTCCGCTTAGGGGGCATGAGGTGATGCAGGCATGCAGAATGGTTGAGAGGAGAATTGTAGCATGAGATGCATGCCTGAGTAGCTGGAGGTTGTGAGGTGATGAGATGGGTGGTGGTTTGACGGTCTGTGTCTTGGAATTGTTGGGTACATTTGGGAGCATATGTTGCCTGGGAGCTGTATTCCTGTATCAGTGTGGGATAAGATCAGTCTTTAGCATCTGTGTAGGATGGGTATGGCTGTGATGTGAGTGGCTGCAAGAGTGTACAGCAGGTGGTATGTTCTCACTTCCTGTTGTAGGCTCTTGCAACCACTACAGTGATGTTGGGTGGAATTTACATTTCATCCATAATGTATGCAAGTGTAACAGTATACTACACTCTTTATTCACAAAGATCGAACACTTGCAACGAGGAGTTGCAAGTAAGGAAGCTGTGCAATGCTACTCTTACAAAGCAGCCATGGGCTGTACTGCTAAGACTGACTTCACTCTATGCCTACCATCTGTCCACACCAGTTCTCAAATGAAAACTGGTTAGTGTTTTTCTTAGGAGTGAGCTTCACCTGGAATGTAACCGTTTGCTTCGGCAATATCCTGAACTGCTTCGGTGTAACTTGGACGTCAACGTTCGCAGGCATGCGAACCTGCGCTTGGTAGGTTTTGCGCCTTCGCCGTAACACTCGTGACACTGCGCGTCAAGGTAACCACGTTCGTCAGTCGCGAAACGCATATGTTCGGCTGTTCAGACTCCACGGCTTGATCGGCGACAGCCTCTTCGCCGGAAACGCCTTGTTCGCAGCGGCCATATTCACACCGGCGAGGAAGTTGAAGTAACCCTTTCGTCCAACATCCGTAAACCAATCCCGGATCGAGCATCGCAGACGTATTCACATTGCCCCGACCCGAAATTCCAAGGCGTCGCAGTCGACCCTATGAACGTTCGCATGGCCCCTCCGCGATTGTTCAGTTTATATGCGGTCGTCATTATTGCCGATTTGATCGCGGCGGGCCGCCAGTTGGGGCTATTTTTGAATGAGCAGCGCGGCGATTCCCGCTAACTGTGGCGTAGACATCGACGTCCCGCTTTCATGGTGTACCACGCGTCTTTAGTTGTCCCGCCAGCAGCAGCAGCTACTAGATCCATTCCCGGCCCAGTAACATCCGGTTTAAGAATGTCGTTAGTTACTTGCAGAGTGGCGGGAGGAGGCCGCGAGGGGTTCAGTGGTGGTCCCGCCGACGAGAACGGCGCGATCACCGGCGCCTCGTAGACGGCTTGAAGGGTCCGGGGCCGCGAGGCATGGGAAACGAATCCGCGTTTAGATGCTGCTGATGCACCCTCTGCTACATACGACGAGTTATCACCGTAAGCGGCGGCCGTAGCAGCGGTTGTAGAGGAAGAGTCGGCTGAGCGCGCGCGGTAGAGCAAGGCGGCGTCGTGGTCCGTGGTGCTGGCGGCGACGGTGAGATAGAAGGGGGACGTGTTGCTGATGGTGCGATATGAGCCGCCGCCTTGACCCGGCGCCCTGCGTTACCTGCCGCTAGGGTTACGAACACGCCAGCCTGCGGTGGAGAAACGGATAGGGGTTCACTTCGAAACGATGAAGAAGAAATAGAAGAAAAAACGGGAACAAAAGAACCCTAGGAGATAGGAGTTATTTTAGGAGAGTGTCAGGTCAGGTTTTCAAAGTAAGTCGCAGTCTTACCTCTGCTGCGCGCAGGAGGGGCAGGTCGCCAAAGTAGGTATCCTCGCCCGATCCGATGCTCATGGAGAGCACATCCACACCGTCCGCGACGGCCTGATCAACGGCTGCAAAGATGTCGCAGTCGTGGCCGTACCCCTCTGACGCGTTGTACCACAGCGCCTTGTACACCGCCAGCCTGCCACGTGGCGCCATGCCACTGGCCGTCCCGATGGGCGTGCCGTCCCGCTCTGTCAGCACCACCCCGCTGTTGCCCACCGCCGCTCTGCTTGAAGGGGAAGCGGAAAGGAGAGAGGGGTTGAGGGAAAGGGGGCAAAGGACGAGAGGAGGAAGGAGTTTCGGGTGTAGGGAACACATCACAATCTCATTAAGGCTCTTCAGAACCTTCCCATTGACCACCACGTAACCCAAACCCCACCCGCCTTTCCCCCATGACTCACCCTGCACACCACGTGCCGTGGCCGCCAGCATCGCGCGCAGAGCGATACTCCCCTGGCGCGATCTTGCCGTACTCGCGCTCGTACGCGGAGAGGAAGTAGCGCGCGCCCACCACCTTGCCGTTACACCTCTTCAGCCCCGTACACGCGCCCTTCCAGTGCTTGGGTGGGGGACCATAGCCCTGTGAAGGGGAGGGGAGGAGGGCCAGGGCGCACGCGGGTGGGTGAGGGTGGATTAAGTGGTTCAGGGAAGGTTCCCCTTCACCTGCGCTCGTACGTGGAGAGGAAGTAGCGCGCGCCCGCCACCTTGCTGTTGCACTGCTTCAGCCCCGGTCACCACGCCCCCTTCCAGTGCTTGGGCGGCGGGCCGTAGCCCTGTGAAGGGGAGTAGTAGTGAGGGAGGGGTTCTTGATGATATCTGCGGTGGGGGCTGAAATTGTTTCGCACATTGCATCGCACCGCACCGCACAGCCGTATTTACTGTATTCGTGCCTTGATTGCAACCAACTGTGTGTAAACACGCCCTCGTACCTGATTTGCGAAGGAAGGGTGTTCGGGCCAAATGCCTGTGTCGAGAATCCCCACCACCACGCCCTCCCCCGCGCTCATCTTCCCCCCGTTCGCCTCCCACGCGCCCTTCGGCGCGCCCAGCTTGAGGAAGCGCGGGGAGTACGTCGTGAGCGCGCGCACCTTGCGCCCGCGCGCCACGCGCCCAACGTCCGGGCGCGCCCGCAGCTGCTGCGCTTCCGTGGGGGTGAGTTGCGCGCAGAAGGAGTTGGCGGCGAAATTGTAGCTGGGGGGAAGGGGGGGGGGGGAAGTGGTGGGGGAGAAAAAGGACGGGGAAAAGGAGACAGCTTGGGCAACGAAGCGCGGAAAGATGGAACAGGAGAGGTAAGAAGATGCGTGGAAGAGATGGTTTCGGGTTTAGGGTGTGTGGCGTACACTTACCACGTCATCATGTGTGTGTGCCACGTCATACCTATACACCATACTGGTCGACGCAACACCGACAGAAGTGAGAGTCCTTTCGTGCAGCGACGTCAGGTGCTGCGCGTACGCGCGCACATGCGGGTCATCCGCGCGCGGGCGCAACTGCCGCGGACCCCGCCCCTTCCGCGCATCCCCCCCCATGACCCCCGCGCTCCCCCGGTACGTCCGGCCGGGGAAGGCTCGTCTTCCTCCGCCACCGCCGTCGCCGTGAGTCCCGCGATTCCTCCTTTGTATGCGACGACCGGAGGCGCGGACGTCATGTGCACAAGATACAGCCCCTTGCCCGCGCCTGGCGCCGCTGCTGCGATGCCTGCAATGGTTGGGAAATGTGAAGTTTCAAACATCAGGGTCTAGTATGCTAGGATGCGGGTACATGATGGACGAATTTGCAGTGGTTTAAGCGCGTCCTGGCAGATTGATGGGGGCAAAAAGGCCACCTAGGCCATTTTACATGCAGCATCACTCGCGTATGCAACGCATTATATACTCAGATGCACCGCGCGTCTTGTGCCGTGCGCGACGTTCGCGGCGTTCGCGGTGTTCGTGCCGTTCGTGCGGTGAAACATCGCATTGCGTGCAGCAGCAGTGACCCCGTGAAACACAGGCATCGCAACCCGGCTTGTGCATTTCGACAAAAGTTTTTTCAATAGTACCTTGATTTCTGCCTGTGCCACTTTCTACAGTCAGTCGCATACAGTACTCTTTTAAAACGCCTCACAAGGCGCACCTGATAATTCAACCGAGAAGACAACGAGAGAGGCGCTGATTCGGCTCATAAGCTCACCTATGAAAGAGAACATTGCCGCAAAGACGAAAACACGAGCGATCCTCTCCTCGCGCCCGCCATGTTGTCGACTGCCGCCGTGCCCTCCCATCTGAGACTAGTTGAATTGTTTTCTTTTTCCTCCAAACCAACTGGGTTGAATTCCTCGGCGTGAGTCGAATCACTGAGCTGCAAAGTTGCAAATTGCCCTCAGGGAGGAGACTTGTGAGTAGCCTCGCTGCTTGTAGCAAATCGAGCGCGAGTGGTTAGAGGGACAAGTCTCGCTGCTCGTTGGAGTGAGCAGTTTCCGTTAACGGTGGAGAAATCCACTCCGTTTGAGTCGCTGTTAGTCGAAGGTGAGTGTGGCAGGCGCGGTAGCACAGGTCGATCGTATCACCTCGTATGGACTGAGGAAATTCTGGAGGGAATCGGACGGCAAATGAGATCGTTTGGCCTAAATGCGCGTCTCGACACACGCGAAGGAACGATGGTTAAGGTGATTGTACCGCGAAGACAAGTTAACAAAGCACGAGGGAGAAAGGGAAGGGAGGAAATTATGGAATGAGAACGGAGCTTATTAAAACGGATCACGCACTTATCAATGGCCAAGGTCGGCTGATACGGTAGGAAGGAGAGGTGAAAGTGATTTCTAAGGAACTAGGCTCCCAAATTCTGACGGTGGGACGGAAGGCCTGAGAACACCTCGGCTGCATAGACGAAACTGCTTTTCCTGTGCGATCCAACCACCACCACCACAGGTGCACCAATTCAGATTAGCGGGCGCACACGGGTGCAACCATACGGAACTGGCTCCCGCGACGTGATGCACGACGCACTAGAGTCACACCAACTACAAAAGCCAAGGGCTGGGCTGGCCGATCGTCTTGAACCAAGTTGCGGTTGTTGGGAGAGGGAAGGAAGGAGGGCCATGAAGAGTCGGGTCGGTTCGGGGCGCTACGTCAACCCAGGGCTGGGCGTTTGCAGGAGCAAAGTCGGATGACCAGCCAAGGGGCGCTGCGAGTGTTCCTCCCGCATGACGCAGTGCTGATACTTGCAGCTCGATGGGTAGCAGAGGGATGGGCGGTGGTCATGTCACGCCAAGGATCGTGTCTTCCGCCCAGTAACATACCTTCATTCTCTCGACTTGCAACGGGGAATGTCAAGTCTGAAACATGGACGGGATGAAATAGGATGAAATGAGATTGGCTGAGATTTTGTGGGATGGGATGCGATGAAAAGGGAGAGGGGGCAAAGTGTGCGTCAAAAGGGGTCGAATTTCGTTCGCCGCCAAATCACAACATTCGAGGTGAAATGAGATTTCGAACCGCGTATACGGGGCGCGATGCGTATAGCGATGGGGGATCGAAACACTGCGTGCTAACTGGCGAAGCCTTGTGACTACATTGCATGTGACTAACAGCTATTTCTACTAAAGATCGCGGGAACCGAATTTGCTTGTCTCGCAAGCAAAAGT